GTGTGTGTGTGTGTGTGTGTGTGTGTGTGTGTGTGTGTGTGTGTATGTAAACCTCTTGTAACTTTTGAACGACTTGACCGATTTCATCGCGGTTGGTGTCATTCGAAAGGACTTCACTAAACTTAGATTTCCTGAAAATTTGAACCGATTCGGACCGGTAGATATCGAGAAAATGCAAAGAAAGTGAAAAAAAAAGTGAAAAAAAAAGTTGTTTTTTTTTATTTTTTTTAAATATCTCCGAATTGGCTGAACCGATCGGTCTCAAAAACTAATCAGCTCTCAACCTTGAAAACCCCCATCGATCGTCACCAAAAACGTTAGAATCGGTTGATGCGTTCGTGAGATATCGTTGTCGAAAAAAATCGAAAAAAGTGTTTTTTTGTAATAACTTCAAAATTCATGGCTCAATCGATTTAAACTTGAAAATTTTTTATGGAGCTTCAAAAACTGCGTCGATTGCCGCCAACCGCGTGAAAATCGGTTCATTCATTCAAAAGTTATTGCCGTTTGAAAATTCAAAAAATTGTGTCTTCAAACTGCTATTAGAGTTTTGAGCTCGAAAAGCTCAAAAACGTAATGTGTAGTTTGAAGCGTTTAAGTACAAAATGAGCGGGAAGTTGCAGGGAACGCCTTAAGGGTGAACCGTTTTTCTAATTTTTTTTTATATCTTCTATTAATTTTTTTCCAAAAGCTGGTTTTTTTGCAGTGATCTACTAATAATTTATATAAACAAATATCTCATTTTCTACGATGGATTCAAGGAAGATGATGAGAGTCATTTTTATAGAGGCTTTTAATATCTATCGATTTTGTTTAAACAACTTTTAGTTACTTTAGTAGTTTCCAAAAAATTTGCAAAAAAAGATTTTTTTGTGGTGATTTTTATTTTTTTTTTTTTAGATACCCTTAGAACATTATTTGTATTTTTTTACTTCCGATACTTGATGAGTGAATAAAAATAAAGCTTTGATTATGATTTAAAATCTTCTGTGATTGGTCTATAATAGAATCCCGTCAAATACCGTAAACTTCTAAAATATTGAACTAATTTTTTTCAAAATTTATTTAATCCTCAAGTTCAAAACGCTTATTTTAATACCACAAAGAGGTTTAAAATCAGTCCATTTTCCCGAGGTATATTGTTATCGAAACATTTTCAAATATTGATTTTTTCAAAATATTTTTTTGACAATTAGAAAAAAATTTCACTCACTAAAATTAGTCTTGTTAATGACTTAAACTTCCGGATAATTCTAATAACTATAATAATTATATTAAAAAATTATAATAAATTTAAAAAAAATATTTTATTTTAAAGATACGATTTTAAAAAATGATAATGTAATAAAAAATAATAAACAAGAAAATTTATTAGCATAGAAGTCTTCCTTTTATTTTTTTCTGGATCACGACCTACAAAGTTATCTCAACGACTTTCTCAAATTAACCGAGGACTCGATTTAATTTTATTTAAAATTTCTTTTAATATAATGATTTTCACGTTATTATTCTCCTAAGTAACAAAAAAATCAATTTTTTTAATTTTTAAAATAATTCTCACAACTTCAACAACAAAGTGATTAACATACTGAAAAAATTTTTAAAATACTTACAGTTGAAAAAAATAAAAATTTTTTTTCAAAAAATTCAGAAGAAGAGTCAAAAAAAGAAACACTTGAAACAAAATAAAACGAAAAAATAATAATAAATAATCACAGAACACTGTTACATTCCACGTTCGTTGTGTTGTCGATGACTGGAGTGACTGTAAAATAATGTGAAGCTATAAAAGTATCTAAAGAGTCGAGAAGAGAGAGAAAATGGTGAAGAGAGTTCTCCCTCTTTAAGAAAGAGAGCCTCCAGCTCCAGAATTGTAAGGAGGTGAGTAAGGTATTAGCTTCTTGACATTCTCTAACCGTCAACTAACAACTAACAGCTAAGTGTTCCTTATGTATGTGTATAAACAAGTAACACTAATCTAAGTGAGACGCAAATAAATAAAAGTAATCCTAAGTTTGTTCAATTCCTATATTTGATTACCGATCACAACTCTCATTGCTTTCACTTATGCAGCGCACCTGTATATAGCACATATTTTAGAATTCGCTTTTTAAGAGGCAAGCTGCGAAAATATCGGATTATTGAAGAACTTACGATTTTTATCTCGGAAATCTTTTAATTATAATAAAATTATAATCAGTAAAGGACTTTAAATGTTTTTTAATTTTTTGTTGAGATATTTGAGGTAGTTTTTTTAGGAATACACAGAAAAAGAAATTTACTTGAATCAAGTAAATAATTTCAAAAAACTTCATTTTCTTGAATTGAGTAAAAAAATTCTTAAACTAAGGAATTTTTCTTGGTTTAAGTAAATTTTATTTGATTAAAAAATTTTTTGTCTTGATTCAAGACAATGAAACTTTTCAAAATTATTTTCATGGTACAAGAATTTTTCTCTTGATTCAATTTAATTTTTTTTTTCGGTGTAGAGCTCGTTGGTTACTCTACATTAAGGGAAAAATTTTCTTTCGAAAAAAATGGTCATTATTGCGACAAGTAATTAATATGGTAAATATTTTTCATAATTTTACTTCGCATTACATCATTGCTCATTTATTTCAAAAAATTTTTTTTTCTCAGTATGGAAAAAATGACAAATAGACACATAAAATCTTATAAAATCTATGAGTATTTCTAGACACATTTGTCCGTATTATCAAAGTTTCTATGAAAATTTATGATTTTTTCAGCTTGGTAATAGTTGGAATTGATCGATACAGTTTTCGAGAGGTATAAAATTTTTTTGAGTTTAGTTAGTTTAAATTTTTAAGAAAACTAAATGTAAAGAAGCATGATTAGAATACGGATAGAAATTCAAATCTAGAAAATCGAACTGAAAGTAGTAATTTAGAAATTATAAAAAATCTCCAATTTTCTCAGCGGGAAGATGAAAAAATTCAGAATAAACTTACTGCTGATATAAAGTTTAAAAGTAAGTCGGACAAAGTTCTTGAATGGACGTGTGGACGAGAAGTAACTTACAGATCGACAGTAAATTGTTGTCACTTTCACTATTTTCAACGGCAACAAATGTGGTTACCTGAATTATTGTTAATGTTTATGCTTAAATTCTTAAAAGTTGATTTCTTAACTGCTGGTAAAGAAGAAATGAATGTTGCTGATGGTAAAAAAATGATAGAATGACCTCTGAGTTTCCGATTACCGACGGCTTTTATTTTTCAACATTCCTCGATAGCCAGCGCTTTCTCAGAAAGTAGTTGACTTCCAGCAGTTACGGTTAACTTATAAGTTAATAATATAACTTAATGTTATAACATTAAGTTTGCGGTAATCCTTCACTGAATACACGGAAAAAAATGATGATTTAAAAATTGCATCACTAATGATGTAAAAATCCGATTGTACGCACAGAAAGAATGGTTCACTCGAACCGAGAAAATATTCTTCTTCATAATTATTTTCTTAGGCGAAAAAAAAATTTTTTTTTGACACAAGAAATTTCACTTATTCCAACAAAATTAATTCTCTTGCTTCAAGAAATACGTATCTTGATCCAAGACAATTTATTTAAATCAAGAAAATTTTCTTGTTTTGAGAAAATTTTTCTCTTGCTCCAAAAAATTAAGTTCTTGACAGAAGTAAATTTTCTTGTCTTGAGAAAATTTTTCTCTTGCTCCAAAAAATTAAATTTCTCGATAATAAATTTTTATTAATATTTTTATTGACGAACACATCAAATGGGAAGATCAAATAATATTGAACCATTTTCTTTCATTCAATATGTATAATTGCGTGCTAAAATAATCTAAAATGGGTATCAAATATTCAAGAGAAAAATTTTCTCAAAGTGAGAAAATTTTTTTCTCAGCTGAAGTAGATGGCGCTGCTTCCCTAAAGTATCTAAAAATCGATCCAATATAAAAATTTATTGTATCAAGTATTTATGATAATTTGAATTAAGAAAAATTACTTCCACCAAGAATAGAATTTCAAGAAAAATTTTTACTTCAGCTAAGACAACTTCGGTCTTCCTTCGGGCACCCGAAAATTTACTTGAGCCAAGAATTTTACTCTCCAGTCAAGAAATTTTTTTTTCTGTGCGAGTGGCGTTAGTTTTGGTTTGAGGTGATACAATGAGACAATGCAAATTGTCCTTTTCTTCTCAGCCCTCAACTGACTGTCTGAAAACCCTCGTTACCGACACTGGGTTAATTTTCTTAATTTTGGCGGTAGAGTCTCGAAAAAGAGTGGGGAATAACGGCCCACGCGACAACACCGAAAAATATTGATCAGACTTCGATCCAACCCCAAACTAGCAATCACGCTAACTTTCTAACTCTCTATACTACTATTTATTAATTACTAATTAAGCAAGTTATAACGTTTTATATATTCTAAAAAATTCATTACTGTTTAATTTAAGTTCTACTATTATAATTAATTATTCAAGCATTTATTGCATTCGAGAAATGATAAGTGAATCATTAGTGTGTGGAATAAAATAGTTATTTCCCGAGTCAAAAAACAAGTTCCATTTTTGACCTCAAAATCTTCAATTCCTTTGATATTTTATTTGCCGCACAAAAAGTAACTCTATTTTAACACTCAAAACCCTCATTGAAGGCTATGAAGTTTAAATATGGATTACCCATAGATTTGAAATCTTAACTTTACCCTCAAAACACTCATACATCGGAAAGTTGTAGTTGGGACTTAGAAAATTTATCGCTCAGAAAAAAAAATGTTTTAGTTATAAGTTACCATGGGAGAGAATTATTTTAGATTTTTTTAGTTATAAAATTAACAATAATGTTAATAAAATCACATTTATTAATATGAATACATTATACTCATCAATTGTATATTTTTGCGTGATAACGCAACTAATTTATTTATAAATATCTTATCCTTGAAAATCGTATTTAATTTTTAAATGACAAAAATGAAAAAATAACGCAGTGATAAAAATTTTATTCAAATTATTCGTTTTCTCTTGAATTTATTGGTATTCCAACGTATGTATCATCTGAAATTATCATTTCTATACATACTGTTATCAACGAAGCTACTGGTATTAAAATGAAACTATCTCGTTTTGAACATTTGTACAAGTGAAAAATATCATAAGCTGTGTTATCATTATCAAGAGCGTTGAAGATCCTTTCACTTGAAAATTCTTGGATAACAGCATAATGAGTTTCTGTACATTGGCATCTATCGTCACATTGACATTTCAAAATTTTTAGGAAACAATATACAGATCCAAAATTATAGTTTCCTTCATGCTTATATAAGACAGTTGAAGATTGAGTTTGCAGTGCACGTGTATATTGCTGAGAAATATACAGCTTACTATTTTTTAATAATCTCAAATAATATTGAATTGTCTTTATCGGTAGGAAATTATTAATTGTTTGTTGTACAATGTCTGGTAATATATTATTCCGGAAATTTTTGTAGGTACCAACGCTATAACAACTACTACTTAATTTCTCACATATTTTCACTCCATATTTTCTAGTCGAACAAAAAGTTCGTATTGGTCCTTCTGGCAATTCTTCTAAATATTTTTGCATCGTTAATGATTGCAGGTGTGATGTTGTAACTTGAGAATCTATATGGCGTATTCCATGTACATCTTTTAATATCTTACCATTTAAATCTTCGTAATAATAACATACGTAAACCCATAAAGGCCCAAGGTTTCTGACACACTGTGGTAAATGTATAACAATATGATTATTTGCTGAACAATATTGTGATCCATATAATATTTCAAATTCACGAACGAATTTAAATAAAAGGTTAGAAGCTACATCAATATTTTCATTGGTTACAGTGTTTGTATTCAATAAAGTTATTCCTAACACAAGTAGACAGTAGTGACTAAAAAACACAGGATCCATTATCCCACTCAAAATTGGTAAAGAATAATAGAATAACCAGGCTTTGAATTCAGATGCTTTTCCATGTGAAATAAGTTCATCAACGGACCGAGGCATTTTGTGAACAAATCTCGGTGGTTTTATAGAAATTAAACGCTCATTGATCGCATCTTTTACTTGAACCAAGGAAAACCGTTCAGCACTATACTGCGATTGAAACCACAGTGACAGAAGTTCCTTTACCACTCCTCCATCTATGTTATGCATTCTATCAATTGCAGATCCTGTAATAAAATCAGGCATAATTGAAGAGAATGCACATGGGCCTTTTACACCCATATATGGTTCATTTGTCTGTAATGCTATTGCAGCATGACGAAGAGAGTCTTGAGAAGTTCGCAGCTGAAAATCTTCTACATAACGATAGATATGAGTATGAGCTGTTCTTTGAGAATTTAAAAAAAAGTTTCTCCTGGGCATAAACAAATAGGACAACCATATTCTCCATTGAATTGTTTGAAATTATAAAACTGAGCTTTCGCTGGAAGATCACTTGTACCAAGAATTAAAACTGCTTGGACAAAAATTGATTCATTATTGTATAATTTAAATGTATAACCACGTTTCAGTTTTTTAAATTGGTTGTAAAATTTTGAAACATAACTGTTTGCTTCAGGTTTTTTGTTACCGAACCAAAGTCCTAGCAGAATTATATTTTGTTGTTCAATTCTTTCTTCGAAAGGAAGTTCATTAATTACTAGATAAATTGGCCACATAGATACACTCGATGATTTAAATACTGGTACTCCATCTGTATACCAAAGAAAAGAAAGTTGATTGTAGCCTCCAACTATATTTTGGTTAGTTAAGTTTTTGTATAATAATCCATCGTAAACATCTTTCACAGAATTGTCTGGACAGTTTCTTTCAAAACGATGACGCAGAGATTGATGGAAATTTTATCTCTTATATAATTCTTTTAATTGACTTTTAACGGAAATTTCTATAAAATATGGATTTTTCTTTTCATTATTCACAGCTGCACAACTATTACAAATATCTTCTTCCGAACTCAAGTTTTGTAAGCACGATGGGCAATAGTAATGTTTTTTGTATTGTTTTGATGCATTTTTTTTCAAAGAAAAATGCTTTTTAAATTTGTATACGCTATTTTTTTTCAATCCTTCACTTGGACAATGCAAATTTATAATATTTATAACATCTCTAAGACACGTTTGAGTGATATTATGGTCTACTAACAACGTAAGAATTAATGCATTGCTCTGTGATACAGTTAATGGAGCATCGGGGTATAAAAGTTCATTAGGATTATAATTTTCATTCTCATCATTCTCATCATCATCACTAGAATTCTCTGACTCTGATTCGTCATCAGAATTTTCACTTTCACTCTCATCTTCACTTTGATGTTCACTCATCTCATTTTCATTATCAGTAACTGGTTCAACTATATCTTCCATCATGTCATTTACATTCTGATTCTGTGAATTCTCTTGATTATTTGGAACCATAGGATCACCTATTCTGTCTTCATTGTCATCAATTTCAGGAATTGGTGGTAAATCATTTTCATGCTGTATATTTAAAATAGGATCTTGAATATTTTGCTGAATTTCAATGTTTTCCATATTTAATAGATCATCATTTATTTCACTACCAGAAGCACGTGCTCCAATTTCAACATGTATCTAATAATAAACAAAATAATTAATTATAGTTAAATGTTTTTCCGTAACTTATTTTATTAATCAAAAAACTTATAAAATACTTTTTTAAATAATCTGAATAAATAAATAAATTAATTAATTAATATTATTACTCACTGGATTTTGATGTTGGCGTGGACGTAACCTCTGGCGATACTCGTTATTATTATCATTTATATTTGCACCATTATTTTCAGCTGGAATATTTTTAATATTTTGTAAATATAATTTTCGACGTTGTCTGCTCAACTCTAGATAACTTTTCCTTCGATTCATCTTAATTATTATAATAACACGCTGCTATAATTAATTGAAATAACTTAGAATGTTTACATTCATGCTGGAATACCAACTGAAGTTAACGCTCATGAGAGCGCCCCCTGAACTCTCCGCCGTATTGAAAATCGATTTAGGTTGTATTCTATCTATCTTCACACTGCTTAGTTTGTTTATCTGTAGAACGATTTTATTATTGGAAAATTATTCAATATTATTTTTTATTCATATGATAATTGGACAATAAATAAAGTATGGCAGCGAAAAATAAACCGATTCGTAATCGTAAAATGTATGTTTTGATTTGGTATGTAAATTCTCCTCATAAAGATGTAATAAGGATGAGTGATTTACCTAAAAAAGCATTACGTGAAGAAAGAGAGATTGTTAAACTACTTTGGCAAGACCACCAAACATGCAAAAAAACTAAAGTAGATGCAAAAATAATTAAAATGCACTGTAAGTACTATTTTTTTTTACTCACAAATTATTAAAATATTTTAAATCAATTGTTGAAGGTTATGGGCATGAGTATTACGTTTTATCTAATACAATAATTATTATATATAATAATTCATTAAATATGTAATTTTTATAAATGTAATTTATTGACAATAGCTATTAAAATTTTTTGTTTTGATTTCAGCTGATAAAAATTATCTTTTGAACATACGGCTTGACTCTGATGGGAACATACGTGACGATTCAACTAAAATGTTTTATCAATCAGTACTCGATAAAAAAAAAGAACTTGCTCAAACTAAAAAAAATATTAAAAGATCATCAAAAGAACACTCAAAACTTATTGAGACAAAAATACTCAAAAGAAAGTCATTATTTACTTTGGGGGACGATATTGAAACTACTAAAAAAATAAAAGTCGATTGTGATGTAGAAAAAAAAAAACAGAGTGGAATAACAGGAAAGAAAATGATAAGGCTAACTCTAATGAAGAAAAATGTCAAGAAACAGTTATATCGACATATTGCAATGAATCTGATATTAATCATTGTCCTTTGAATTTATCAAAAAATGAAACTAAAAAGCAATCGGATTACAACCAAAAAATTTCACAATCAAATGCAACTGAAATACAGAGTGTTCCTGGATGTTCTAAGTTGAGTCAACCAAGCTCAAATGAAAATACCCCGTATGCTCAATGTGGATCACCAATTGCTACAAATAACTCAAATTACGTGGCAAATCATCCAAATTGTCCTGACAGTGATTTATTTAATCCTATACAATATCTACCTGATGCGGAAAGTTTTGATAGTAGACCTGTAGCAACACCGGTACTATCAGGAGTAGAGATGTCGATTATTGACGACTCACAGTACTCTGTTTTGTAAATAGGTTCTTTGCAACAAAGGAGTGATCTAGAAGATCCCAAAGACTATTCTATATGCGAGTATGACACCATTGAGACGGTTCGTAATGTAAGCGAGGTTGAAACAAATCAACCAATGGAGCAAAGTCACCAACTAGAACAAAATTTCCAGGAGGAAGCAACACACAAAACTGAAAATTACTCTGGAGCATTACACACTTATTTTCAGTTTGAAGGTAAATATTCAGTTTAAAATTTTTAAGGCCTTTATATTTTAATACTAGCTTTTAAAATTTAATGAAATTACTCTTAGTAATAACCGTGATTATTATTATTATTATTTTATTTACTAACAATATTTATTATACTATTACATCAACAGTTACTGATCAAAATGTAAAGTTCCTAAAGGTGTGTGAAGCTGGATTAAAGAATGCTTTGGAAGCACAAGAAAAAAATCTCCCTACATTACTCAGTGCAGCTTATCAAGTAAATATGTTTCAAGCCTACTTTATTCTTTAACTTTTTGTTACTAACTTTCATTCAAATCAATTCAATTTTTGGTCAAAGTTCTTTGCATTGAGATTTCGAATGGTTTTTACAGAATTTCATTGATACTTAATAATTTATATGTTCATAAATCCTCATTTAAACTATTTCTGAAGTATAAATACTATTATTTGTTGAGTGAATGTGCATATCTAATTTTTAATAGATTTTTTAACTTTACTTTAATTTTTAGATGTCACAAGATTATACAAAACAGGATGAAAACAAGGTATAAATGATAAATACGTAACGTATTATAATTTAGATATTAATATATAAATGATTTAATTTTTTTGCTTTATTTTGTGTATTTATTAGTCTTTGAAAGAGTTAATAAGTTTGAAATTTGTCTTTACATTTATAGAGAGAAATTATCCCAGGGAGTGTAATCTTTTTTCCAATCATTCGAGTTGAAGAAATTGAAAAAATAACTGAACTTGAGCCTGGATATTCAGAATGGCAAGAACTTGTGAAACTTGCTTTATTAGAAGTATATGGAAATAGTATTTGTCGATATTCAGCAAAAGGACGGGAAAAAGATGTTAAACCAGCAATTGATCAGAAAGTTTATCAGGGAGTTTTGTGTAAAATTTATTATTATTAAATTATAATTTTTTTATGTAATTAAGCTTACTAATAACCTTTGACTCATTGTTCATTTATTTATATTTTAGCGTGGGCCAGAAGCAGATCAAAAATTGAAATCACAGATGCGAGTTATAATAAGTGTATTAATCTTCTTTCATCGCAAAAAAACCTGGTAATAGTAATTCAGCATCTGTGACTGAGTGTAATAAAGAAAATAATTTAAATGATCCTGATAAAAGTAATATTACTATAAGATTTTCATTTACAAAGATTGTTATCTACGATTTATTAACTTGTTTCTTGTTCATTTTTAGTTACGGCAGAAAATCTAAGATTCTTTCAAAAACTCATCAATATTGCTGAGAAAGCAAACAAGTTACATGAAAACTCAAAATTACCATTACGAGAGATTAATAAGGTAAAATCTTTTGAGAAATATTAATTACTAAATTATTAAGTTTCTTCATTTATAAGAAACAAAATAATATTTCTATTTAACGAATATTTAGCTTCCAGACGAGTATAGCGAACCACCAAGTGAAGAATACATCAAAATTCATCAGAGTCATAAGGTATATTTGCCTAAATCAACTATTGCATGCATTGTACGAACAGCCCAAGTATCAGCAACTAAGTATGACTGGAAATGCTTAGTTAAAGAAATACTTCTTGAAGTATACATCAAAAATATTGCTCAGTTATCTGTAAAGGGGAAAAAAGGCACAACAAAACCTGCTATGAATTGTGAATTGTTAGCTGCAGCGCATGGTATGTTTAAATTTATTACAGCTTTATTCCAAGTTTGTAAAATATGATATAAAAAACTGATTATTACTATCTTTATCCTAATTACGTAATTATTTTTGTAGTTAACTAATTATTATTATTATGAGAGTTTTTTGATATAAGGTTTTTACTGTGATTTAGTGTATGTTTTGAAAATTAAATTATTATTTCTTTTTTGCTAAAAATTTAAATTCATTTATCAAGTCAGCTAAAGTTGTTTATATAAATTAATTTGATTGTATTTGTCTTCATTAATTAATTTTACAACATTGAAATAATTGACCATAAGAAGTATTTCAGTGAAATAATAATTTTTTTTTTACTCTAGATTGGGCTAAAGATATTTCAAGAGAACAGATTTCGGACCAAGACTTTAACAAATATATAAGCAAAATTATTTCAAATAAAAGCAGACCACCGGTTTGTAAACTGAAAATTCCTGAAAAGTCAACAGAGACTTCATCATCAACCAACAACAAATAATATTTATAATCACAATATTTCAATTTTTCTATTCAATAAGTAATTAAAAATAATTTATTGTCATGTTCACTATGGAATGACAAATAAAGAATATTCCATCTAACATTATCTCATTTTAATTCCAAGTGATCAAATTTGAAAAAGCAGTAAGAAATAAAAATTTGTTATTTTGCATAACAAAGGACGCCCTATTTTTTTTTTATTGATGTACATGTTAATTAGAGAAGTTCCAAGTAAAAGACAATAAGTAATGAATATACATTTTTTTGACTCACCATTGAATTAAATTTTTCCAATATATTATAAAAAAAAAAACCCCCGTTAGTAAAAGATATTTTCTTTTGCTTTTCGTTCGTTCTTTTCTTTGGATTTGAGTTGTATCTGAGTATAATAATAATAGTTCACATACACTTTAAAATATATTTATTATAGTGAATATTATATACGATATTATTATGTTATTAATTATACAGTATGATTTTTATTTAATTTGTTAAATTTTTTATAATACTATTAAAATATTTAGCAACAATTTCATGTAAGGAATATTCTACGCAAAACTGGATGACATTAAAAATTTTTATTTAAGACTTTTTTCTGCTGCGACATTTTGTAGTACTTTTACCGATTTATTATGAGATTTTTATAACAATAATTCGGAAGACTAAATTAAAAAAAAATATTTTTTCTAATAATTTGAAATTTTTTAAACTAATCGAAAAAATTTCAAAATTTACCAAAATCCCTGGTGGAAATAGTTTCTGATTGGAGTCTGAATAACACTTGCAGAAGTCTGAATAATAATTGTAGAAGTAAAAAAAACTCTGAAAAATTCTGAAATAGAATGAAAAAGTCTGGTAAATCTTTTTTCAGTAATTAAAAAACTGAAAGTTTCAAAGTTTTTGGACTCTTCTGGAAGAATTTTTTAGAATAAATTAGACATGTAGTCAAAATTTAGCAAAAGGAAGGATAAGACTTTTTTAGACTTTTTAAGAGTAAACTAGAAACTTTTAGAAATTCTTAGATTTTTAAAAATAAGTCAAATTTTACTTAATTTTTCGGGTATTGAAAAACTCAGGTAAGTGTGTGGGAATAAAATAAGAAAATGATTACAAAAATTATTTTTTTTATTTTCTTTACTGGCATGATAAATGAAAAAATGAAAAAATTACTTCATCTTATGGCTATAATAATTTAGTATAACATATAAACCTAGCTATTTAATGTTGATAATTATTTTAAATTAATATTTAATATTAATATTTGTATTGAGATAAAAAATTATATTATTAGAAATGTTTTTTTTTTTTTTTTTTCATCTATGTTTGTAAATTTCAAATTCAAGGAAAGATGAAAAATTTTGTAAATCTATAGAAAAATAAAATTGCATTTATATAGACTGAGAAGTTTCAATAAAATCGATTTTTTTCTTTGAAGAACATTGAATAACCGCCATAGTACTCGTAGATACGGACAATGTTACAATATGAGCTCTAAATATTAAAATATAGAGGTGATAATTTACAAATTACTTTTTTTCCCTATTTAAGTAATACGAGAAAAATTATTTTTTCAACTTTTTAACTTGACAAAAAATCGTTTTATAGGGATGATTAAGATACGGATAAAGATTTACATTAGTCAAGTTCTTTTGGAGATATCTAACATTTAAAATTGATATGTTATAAATTATGAAATTATTTTTCAACATTACAAAATCAATGAATATCACTTTAAATATTAATACTCAAAATTACAATCTTCTTAACAAATATCTTTGATTGATATTAAGGCCATTCTCAGAGGGTACTCCTCTCTTTGTAAAAATATTTTTCGCCGCCTAGCGGTCAATAAAAGTACTAAAAAACCCTAGATTTTTCAAAATTTTAAATGAAATTTAAGATGGTATAAATGGTATATTTAAATAATATTATAGTTTCAAAATAATTAAAAAAAATAAATATTTATTTTAAATTTTTTTCCGATTTTCGATATCACCTATAGTTATTGTTATTCACGAAAAACTATGATTTTTTATTTTGTTTTTGTTTTTTGTTAATAACAAACTGAAATTTTTATCAAAATAATAAAAAAAACAATATCATTATGTTCAGAATTTAATTCTGCAACGAAAGGGTGATTCTTTATATTTTTATCACAATTTCTAAGACTTTTATCAGCAAATTTACACAAAATTCTTAGAAAAATTTTCGTTACTATGTAACATAGTAATGGTTAACGTTCTACATAGGAATCAGATCTTTTCTTTTCTCTCCGTGTATATGGCTAAAAACTTTAATAAAAAATTTAGTTTCATCGAATAAAAACTCAAAGGCAATCTAAAATTTTTATTTTCATACGAAAATTGACCATATTTTCACGCGTTTGTCCTTGACGACTTATTTAATGAAAAGTCATTTATTTATGGATATAATTATAATGAGAAACTATTAACTTTTAGTCAAAATTTTACATGCATCAAATATTTCATAAAATGTCTTTAAATGTTTCTATAATTTTATATAATATAATAATCAAAACGAAATTTATTGCAAACAAGTGACACTTTTCTTTGTCTTCACGCAATGGATGTTAGTAATTGTAAAAGTCGAGAATCAGGTGTCTGTCTCTTTTTATTGAATCTCTCACTTACAATGCCGTGTAAGAGTTTGTACGGCATGCCACCGCAAGCACAAGGTCATTGCAGCTGAACGATGTTTTTGGGACTGATGAACGAGAGGTAGCCGTACGCTATATACAGGCTCTTCCAACAGTATTGCAAGTGAGAGATGCTGTAACCATGACGGTGGGGGTAATACAGTGATTTCGTGAGCCACCGCAAGCACAAGGTCATTGCAGCTGAACGATGTTTGCGGGACTGATGAACGAGCGGTAGCCGTACGCTATATACAGGCTCTTCCAACAGTATTGCAAGTGAGAGATTTAATATAAAGAGACACAGTCTTAATATTCACTTTTTACATACTAATATTCATTGCGAGGTGGAAAAGAAAAGTCTCAGTTGTTTATAATAAAAATTGTTTTAAATATATGATTCATACGAATTCATGGTGATATTTAAATTATAATTTTAATTGATTTTATTTCATTACTACATTTTGAATAAATAAAGATAAAGATAACCCTGCATCTAAACTATATTCTCACTTATATTCTTTGTTCTAAATATTTTAGATTTGCAAATTTTAACATGAAAAAATTACTCTACCATTATGTAAATAATAGAAAAAATTACTTACCTTATCAAGAAATTTTGATAAAATATTTTAATTCTTCACAATCGTATTTTTTTGAACAAAAATTAAAAACTCTGATCACCTGAGCTTCACGTGAGTAATTAGTTATAACCGCCTTTGTTGTCAAAGCTCAAATATATTCACGGTGGAAGGGATTACCACCACTACCTTTATTCTCAGGTCTTATCGATTGACTGCACGTGCAATCGATCTATTGTTTCACTGCCGTAACTCTTTTAATTGATACCTTACGCTACTTACTCTCATAAGCGCTGCAATCGCGTTTAATTTTCAATTTCTCGCTAAAATATTTTTAATTACTTTCATCTTTAGTCGTATTTACTGAGGACTTAAGTTATTAATTCTTTTATGAATTCTTTTATTTATTATAATTCTCATAAGCGAACCATAAATTTTTTAGAAAAATATTTTGTTTTTCATTATTAGGAAGCATCAAACTATCTACTATATATTGAAAAAAAAAATAAAACTTTTTTTAAGTACTCAGATAGTTGAGTAAATAACAAATAAAAAAAATATATTTTTTTTTCAGTTTTAAATTAAGTAGCCATACCTGACTTATGAACAACATCTGAGAAAAAGTTATTTATAAAATTTTATTTATTAAATTATATAAAATTTTATGTCTTCATTAAATTGCATAAATGATGTCAAATTTAGATAAAATTTCATGAATAACTAAGAAACTATACAGTTATAATTATTAAACCTTTATACAGTTTAAATCTTATAAAAAATACAGAAAAATTGTTTTTTTTTGTACCGACTATTAGTTCGCTGATAGTTCGTTAGATAGATATATGACTTCAGAAAAACATTTATTCGATAAAAAATAACACTATAAATTTTATCAAATTCATTAAATTATCAAGAAATTCAATCTTAAATTTATAAAATAATATCGATTTTTAAAAATTGTAAAATATTTCGTAAAATGTAAGGAATTAAATCTTTGATTGATGGCAAGAATTTTACGGAAATTTACAGAACATCAGTAAATTTCACGGGAATTTGATATGAAATGGCATCAAATTTAATAAACTTACATGAAGTTAAAAATATGTTTTTCCTGAATAATTGAAAAAATTTATACAGCATCTAGTCAAAATACTGTGAAGAAGGTAGTAAAAGCGGGGGCGGGGGCTTTTTATCTTAAATGGCCTTGTATCTTATGAACTATAGACATTTTTAAAGACATAAGCTCATCCCAATGTTATACTCATCAAGACCTTTCATTTGAGTATCCACATCAATTTTTCATATATTTATATATATTATATATATGTATACATCAAAAATATATCAAAAATGCATGTAGGTACTTAAATGGAAGCTCTTGATGAGTGTAACATCGGGATGAGCCTATATCTCTAAAAACGTCAATGTTTAAGAAAGTACAGTGCAATTTAATAAAAGTCATTATTTAATAAAGCAAAATTTTATTTATTTATAGTTCACAAGTCACGGTAGTCACTTAGTGACTGCAAGGTTGCTAGTATTTATTGATAGTTAATAAATTGTACTTAATAAATTATTTATTAATTGTTAATAAATATTTGTTAACTACTAACAAATATTTATTAAAATTCAATAAATCATGTTTAAAAACTCATTTATTAACAGTTGATAAAGCTCATTTAATATAAACAAATCCTTCTATCAGTATTTTACTGAAAATATTTCTAATTAATTTGGAGCGACTTAGTTAAGAAATAGAAATTA